TTATTATTATTATTATCATTATTATTATTATTGCATCATAAGTAGTAGTAGCAGTAGCGGTAAGAGCAGTAGCAGAAGTACTAGCAGTAGTAACATTAGTATAACAGTCGCAAAAACAGCAGTAGTGTTACAGTTCTTGTTGTAGTTATTATAGTGGTGATGGTGGCAGTGAGGAGTTGGGAGCAAGAGGAGGGGAAGTGATAATATTAGCTCCAATACTACTATTGTTAGTCGTCTTAACATTAACAGTAGTTGCAGTACCAACATTTTGTAATTCAGAACCAGTAAATATCTATTTTTTAAATACAAAAGATTGCGTGAGTTACATATTATTCCATTCTATTTCCCTCTATGAAAACATTGTCCTAATTATGTTCCTCTCTTTCCCTCCCGTGTGCCCAGGTGCAGTACTGCAGCAAACAGATCCCCATGTATTCCAAAGTGTTCACCCGTCTTGCTGGGCTTGGCTCCGGGCTTCACAGAGACAGACAAGCGGTGGTCACGTGGCTGAAACAGAGGGAACTGGAGCCCCCATCCCTGGCTGAATGGTGCAGAGTGTCTGTCCGGCAGGCTATGAACGTGTCCTCGGGAGATCGCTCCTTTATCGGCAACATCAAAGAACTGCCGCTGCCCAATAAGCTCAAGCAGTTTATTGCTATGTCCGATTTTACGCATTATCTCTGTGACTAGTTAAAAGGTGAAACTATCAGACACGCACTTTCGAAAAAAAATAAAATAATAAAAACAACTTACTATCAAATAAGCACACTTTTGATGATATCGATACGTTAAGATTGCCGATTCCATCCAACGGTTACAATCCCTTTGAAAAAATTACTCCGAACTATTTCCATAAAATCTAGATCTGTGTAAAAAAAAGAAGAAGATTTACCAGTTCAGTCAGTTATTGACGAAATGAGTGAGGTGTGCTCGTGCAATATAAAAATAAAACTGATTCGAATCTGGGACATTTTTATGCCTTGTATTAAAATTATTTAAGGATTCCTTTCTTTCAATGAATACGGTGAGTGTGCCAAAAAGTACTCAGATAAGTAAAGTAAAGTTGTTCCCGCATCCAATCCAGACATTGGGGATTGCCTTGTGAGTGAAACAACTTCCTGAACCTTCGACATATTGTGGTAGGGTGGCCAGTTCCTTTCCACGTCGCCTTTACTCCCCCTACTCGAAGTCAGGTACCCATTACTGCTGGGTGGGCAGAGATCCGTGTCCGAACCGAGGCCTGAACATGGACTTTCAGCTTAAGAGACGAGGGCACTAAACGCTCCACCACAGCACCCTCACTCAGATAAGTAATGAATTTTAAAGCGACAACAAAAGGAATATACAGTATCATTCCTCTCTTAATCACCGTGACTGTAACAGGGCAAAAGTACTTTACTACTCAAATGGACATTGAAGGGATTTAAATTGTTGGATGATATTGATTTTGGTAATTGGCAATCTAAATGTATCGATATCGTCAAAAAGTGGGCGGCTTTGATACATTGATAGTGCATGTCTTTGATGGTTGTTTTTTAAAGTAGTTTTTTTTTCAGTGGTTTTTTTTTCGAAATTGCGCAGCTCTGATGTTCTCCCTTTAGAAGGAGTGGTACATTAATTAACATTTAGTTGATGTTGTCAAACTGGGATGATGTACGGGAGGCGGTGGTCGGGAAACCTCCAAGGATAAATTTTGGGAGAATAGTTGATTAAGAAGTGGAAGTTAAATATTTGCCGACCTTGTCGGTCCCAATCTTTAAGTCTTATAGACAGCCATTACGTCTATGCAATTTTCTCTGATCTGACCGCAGTGAGTTGAAAAGGCGATTTAATCTGAATGGTGCGAATCAGGACTTTCACTATTAGTCGTGGCAACATACTCTTTTCTCTGAAAATGTCAGTTTTGTGGGGGAGAGAACGTTCCATTTCCGTTTTTCTCAGTACTGAAGACGACAGACTGTTCAGATAAACAAACTTAAAAGTATTCTGGTGGTTCTTATGCGTGTTTCTTTTTTTTTCTAGAGAAAACCAAAAGAACATTCTCATTTTCCAGCCTTTGACTTTTTGGGGAGTGGCATTCACTTCCCGAGGTTCAGCGGCTGTTTACGTGTGCCTTTTGAGTACAGACGAATCTCTGAGCGCCTGGAATTGTAAACGTTTTATGATCCCATCAACAGAACGGCCATAATTTATGGGACGCGCTGTTTCGACCCCATACTTGAGAGAAAACCTCGGCCGAATGAGGTGGTAGAAATAGGGTGTGGGGTGGGGTCGGTAGAAGGCGAGGAGATGGGTTTGATATGAATGGGTTGGAGGTAGAGGGTGAGGTGGGAGGGAGTTGGAGGGTGTGATAGGAAGACTGAGGAGAACAGGTGATACGAGATACGAGTCGACTGAACGAAGAATAGTCTGGTGGAAAAGGTTACGGGAGGACGGGAGGAGGGTGCGAAGAAAGGGATGAGATAGGATGATCGAAACGCATAAATAAGGCTCGTGATGGAGAGTACCGTAAATTATTATACACGTATTGCACTATATTGCGACTTGTGAAAAAATATCTTTCAGACGTGAGTGTAAAAAGCTATGACTTGTTTGTTTTTTTATAAATAAAAGAAACGCAAAATGTAAAGACATGCTTTGTTATGAGATATCAACTTGTTATTGCACATGGAGCTGTTTCTTTTTCTCCTGTTATTTATTTATTGTCTTTTTTTGTTGTTGGTAGTTTGGCACCTTTACCTCCCGTGAATTGACTTTTATTTAATTGGCGTGAGTTGTGTCCGCTTCCATGTATTCACTCAAACGATGGCAGAGGTGGTGGGGCTGGTGCTGCTATTGTGGCTGATGTAATTGCTGCAAGTGTAAAGAATATTGAGTGATAGATAGGACAAAGATCAGTTTGACTGATTCTTAATGTTGTTAATATAAATATTGCCTCAGCTCTTTTGTTTCCTGTTGGTGCTGATATGGTTTTGTGTCGCTGTTGTTGTTGTTGTTGTTGTTTTTGTTGTTGTTTTTGTTTTTGTTGTTGTTTTGTTACTGTTGTTGTTGTCGTTGCTGTTGTTGCTGCTGCTGTTGATGTTAATATTGTTGAGGTTGTTGTTGTTCCTGACGATGATTTCGTTGTCATGTTGTTGTTCTCTATTCCTTTTCTTTCTCCCTTTTCCTCTTTCTTCGACGCCCCCCCCCTCTTCCCCTTCCGCGTCCTTTAACTTCTCCTCTTAATGTCCTCCTCCTCCCCCTCTTACACATCTTGTAGCCACCTTTGTCCTTCTCCTATACTGCGTCCCCTTCCATAACTGCCACGTTCCTCCTCTTCCGTCCCTTCTTTCTCCACCTCCTCCTCCCCATCCTCTTCTTCGTCTTCCTCCTATTCCTCCTCCTTCTTCTTTTTCTCCTCTAGTCGCCACCGTTCTCCTTATCCCACACTGCGCCTCCTCGGTATCCGTCCACTCTGTTATCCCCCTTAACATGCAAACTTACGTTTTACAATCAGGGCAAGAAGCAAACAACAAGCTGATCAGCTTCAAAATGTCGTGTGTTACGAATGTAACAAACAGCTGTTCTTAATTTAACTCAATCCTGATAATACTATACATATAAATGAAACAAATACATTGTTGAAAACTACAATCAAATAACCAACCTCAAACAAAGCTACACTTTAAGTTTAAGTAAAAGGACAAATGGTGTCCAGTAATATCAAGGACATTAACTCTAGCATTTACATTTCGAACCTTTTTTTTTTCATAATAGTTTCCCTTTGAATATGTTCTCTGTATTTGAGTTCTGAAAGATTCATAGGCAATAATGTTATTATAATTCGTGGCTCATGGGTGAGTGAGCTGTCGAGGTAAAGTGAGTGAGAGAGAGAGAGAGAGAGAGAGAGAGAGAGAGAGAGAGAGAGAGAGAGAGAGAGAAAGTAAAACAATGATGATGACATGAAGGTGATGATTATGATGATGATGGTGATTAACTGTTTTAATACCTTCTTTATACAATGATGATGATGGTGCTGATGATGATGAGGATGATGATGGTGGTAACAGTAATAGGAATAGTAATAAAAGTAAAAATAATTAATGATAATGGTAAGTAAAGATAATCATAGTGAAGAAAATACTAATGATATTAATAATAATGATAATGGTAATTGTTATTATCCTTTCAATAATATTATTCATTATAATAACAAAAATAATTCGGGATAAGATATTATGGTAATGGTGATCGAACTGACAAATAATTTTAACAACAGTGACAACATTAGAATGGCTAATGTTAATGATATTGGAAGAAGAAGAAGAAGAAGAAGAAGAAGAAGAAGAAGAAGAAGAAGAAGAAGAAGAAGAAGAATAAGAAGAAGAAGAAGAAGAAGAAGAAGAAGAAGAAGAAGAAGAAGAGGAAGAAGAAGAAGAAGAAGAAGAAGAAGAAGAAGAAGAAGAAGAAGAAGAAGAACAACAACAACAACAACAACAACAACAACAACAACAATAACAACAATAACAACAGCAACAACAACAATAACAACAACAACAACAACAATAACAACAGCAACAACAACAATAACAACAACAACAACAACAATAACAACAGCAACAACAACAATAACAACAACAACAACAACAACAACGACGACGACAACAACAACAGCAGCAGTGTTTAAATCTTTAACAGTAGCAGCAGCAACTTCAACTGCAAAAGTATCAACAGTACGTTGATGGATACAGAATCAACAGGTTAATATCACAGCTCAGTGTCGTAAGAAATTGGCTTTGATATTAACAGGAAAGTAGGTTAATGATCACAATGACGTCGTTAAATAGCTGCTTAGTAGGTCAATGTAGTCGAAATGGTGGTCTAGTATTATTTATACTTAAAATTCAATTGTTAATCAGAGGGGTCTAAATTTGTGGCTTCCCTTTCAGCAAAGTTGACAGAAATAAGTGACCCCCAAAAATATATGCAACTCTGCAAGTGCGAAATAGATATATATAACCAAATGTTTACCCTATGAACAAACATAAAATTTAGAAATCTTTAGCCAAAGGCTGCTTGATCCAGATATATTATCCCTTTGTTGTAACGTTACGCACGTTACACACGCATGTCAAAGTCAGAAACGACGAGATTCTCGTTTTGTTTCACCGTATAATCTACAAACAGTTTACCCTTCTTTTTTCTTGTCTGTGTATAAGGAAGATAAGGCATTATGTCAAGTTCGACCCTTGTTTGTATTTCAGGAAAATGAGAATTCGGATCAAGCCTTGGGATTCGAATTCAAAACTGCAAGTTGTACTTTAATGCCTGCTTGGAAAAAAAAATCCAAAATGCAGCGCAATGAAATAAAGACTTTTAATTATGCTAAATATGTATGTCAAATTGGCGTTGTAAGTTGGCTCATGTAAACCCTGCAAAGTCATTTAGGGGGCTCTCGTGGCTTAGAGGTTAAAGTGTTCACCTCCCATTCAAAGGTCTGGAGTTCGAATCCGAGAAGCGACGGAAAATCTTTCGTCTCTAAAATATTGTTTACTTTCACCTCCTTTCCTGCTCTCTAGCCATATTCTGTCGCCACTTTCTGCCCCTACCCCTCACCTCCTTTGCCCCCTCCTCTGGGCTCTTTACTCTTCCTGCAGCATTTCACTGCTTCTCATTGGCTCCTTCTTACTGCTGTCTTTCAGCCACACCCCTGATCTTCTGGTAGGAAAGATCTACACCTAGCCTTCTCGGACAAGGGCGAAAAATCTCGGAGGTCCCGTACGCAAGGTGCGCCGTTTAAAGATCCCTTTTTATTCCAAAGTCGATAAGAGTAGGCTTCGGCTGTCACCTGGGCAAAATTCTAAA